GGGGGGGGGGGGGGGGGGGGGGGGGGGGGGGGGGGGGGGGGGGGGGGGGGGGGGGGGGGGGGGGGGGGGGGGGGGGGGGGGGGGGGGGGGGGGGGGGGGGGGGGGGGGGGGGGGGGGGGGGGGGGGAGGGTGAAAATCTTGACCAAACTGTCCAGTAGTAATCAAATGACCTCAACCAATATGTTTTCACTATCATGAAAGTTAATAATTTAGCTAGTTTTTGCGCCTAAACCAATCAAATTGAGTTGGATTGCAGAGTTGGGTTGTTTATATTACTTGTTTTACTTCCCTTGGGATTGTGTACAGTTTTTTGCTCCTAGCAAATAAAAGAAAGGCGTTTACATAAAAACGATAGGTTCCCTTACATCGAAGTACTTCGAGTTTTTTTTTTTCTTTTCTTGGGGGTGGTGATTTGGGAGTTCTAAAATTTTAACTTCTGAGTTGACTACAAAAAATTAGAGGTTCGAATCTGTAACGGCTCAAGCTCACCGTTAGCCGATATTGTTCTCTTTGGGCTTTTCCTTCCAGACTTCCCCTCAAGGCTCTAAAACGCGTCTTAGTTACACAGCGGAATCGGTACTCATCTAGATACTGTCCTCTTGGGGCTTTTCCTCAAGGTTTTTGGGCTTTCCTTTATGGGCTTCTCTATTACGCGTCTAGAAAGGTTTTCGCGTCCTTTATTCTCTTCCCCCTTGTATTGAACTTCAAATCCAAATTTACAAAATTTACATTTTCATGGCAATTGTAATACATTCTTATACCCAGTTCCTCATCTCTTCCTCTCTTATACTTTTAATAACTATTATCTCTAATTCCTCTGCTTGGTCATCCTAAGATTTGCTTGACTTCACAGAAACTAGTGGGCTGCAAAGCGATGGGCGAGGAGCTATTAAAGTCGATCGAGTCCCATAAACTCGCTACAGTTTGAGTCGAAAACGGCGAGGGATCCTACACTCGCCTCTCTTTCAGTTTCTTTTCAAATGCGCACTAATAACGGTTTCAACTCACAGTTCGGGTGCTATTCCACAATTTGGTTGCATTTTGTATGCTTGGCATCTGTATGAACAAGTTGAGTTTATGGTCTTCATTTTTTCAGAACTACAACTATCTATGGTTTCAGGTAGGAAGCATTTTGAGAATACTCTGAATAAATTATTCATCAGACATTTTCCATTCCCATTGTATAATTTTGAGCACAAACAAAGGTTTAGCTCTTACAATAGTTTTTAAACTCAATTTTGTTTCTATTTGGTTTCCATACTTTTAAAACTAATACCCTTTGCTTAATATTTGAATTTCAAAGGTCAATTTTTAATATATAAATTACTAAATTTTTAATTCTGTGTTTTGGGTACTAAACTTAAAAAATTAATATATACTAGAAACTTAAATTAATATATTTATCAAAAACTTAGTACATAGAAAAAAAAAGGTTCAAAAGACTAAAGTTGTAGTTTAATTTATTTTATTTTAGTTCATTTTTTAAAATTTGATGTATTAAGTCTCTTACGAGAATATATGTTAATTAGTGTTGAAAAATTAATTCATAAATTAAATTGTAATTATAGGAAACAAAAGTTTAATTTTTATCTAAAAATTAAAGTAAACAATTCAAAATATATTATACTCGGGCGACCCGACCCGACCCGACCCGGATGTGCTGGCCAGCTTCCGTAGGCTCATTTCTGAAACCCTAGTCACCTTCTTCCTCTTGTCTGTCAAAACCTCACTCCAAACCTTCTTCAGTTCCTCTTCCGATGGCGCTTCAACTCAGCCTCAGACCCAAAAACCCTAAAACTCTCACCAATCCTTCTCTCATCCACCTCTTCTCCTCCAATTCCTCCGCCCCATCTGATCCAAATGACGAGCCCACCGGTAGTTCTTCCTCCGCCGACACTGGCTCAGCTCAGTCTCCCATGTCCTCTTACTTCAGCGATGTTAAAGCGCGCCTCAAACAGCAGCAGCAATCCCCGTCTCCATCGAGTGCTAGAAAGCCTTCGTATCCATTCACTTCTGTCCCGAATCGACCGAGTTCTCCGGCTTCGAAAGCCGCTTCACTCGAAGAAATCAGAAAGAATCTCTCTGAGTTTCGCAGTCGATCGTCTGTGCCTCCTCCCTCCGAGCTTGGCCCTACACCATCTTCAGCTTCTTCGTCCTGGCAGCGTGGTATCTCGTTTCAAGAGCTTTACAAGAGGAATGCGATGAGAAAGGGCGATGATGGTAGTGCACCTGAAAGTGGCCGTAGCGGCATGCTGTCGTTTGATTCTATTCGGGAGAGCTTGCGGCAGGTGAGTCCATCGAAGGCGATGCAAAATGAACGGAAGAGTGGGGATTCAATGTCTTTATCGGCATTTAAGAACAGCTTGAAATTGAAACCGACGGACCCGGCGTCGACATCGGTGTTTGGTGGATCAGAGAGGCTGCCAGCGTCGGTTTTTGGGAAGGAGATGATGGACAGAAAACAAGGGGAGAACGAGGGAATGAAGACTGAGTTTGTGAAGATGTATAGCCATGGGGAATTGGGGACCAAGTTGAGAGCTCTGAGGCCAGAAAAAGCAAAAGAGAAGAATTGGTTTTCATTGACGGAGTTGAATGAGAGGTTGATGAAGCTAAGGACAATGGAGGAGAAGGAAACCGAGTCGAAAATTGGGGGGATTTCATTCCAGGATTTGAGGGAGAGCTTGGTGAAGATGAAGATGTCTGATGATGAAAAGGCAAAGAAAACGACAAGTGAGTAAACAAATTCATGTACAGTTGGGAATTATAACTAGTTTTCTTTGAAATTGTTAAAAGAAATTTGCATATGTTCTTGAAACTTGGAAGAGAAAGTGGACTGAAAATCTTGCAAAATAAATAGCCATTTAAACGCTGGAACGGTAAAAGGGAAGAATTGAAGCCATTTTAAGTGCATTATTTCTTTTGCCGGTCATGTAGAGATTATGAACCATTAAGGGCTGTTTTTAGATACTTTTCCAATTAAGAGTTGAACAATTGGAGAGCGTGAGCTCAAGGAAAGGTGGCTACTTGGCTAAGATTTAATATTAGGGTCAGATTGTAACTTCGTGAGAATAGTCAAAGTGCACTCAAGCTGGTATGAACACTCACAAATATTAGAAAAAAGCGATTGTGATAATGTAATCTTCACATGTTTATATATTATGAAGTTTCTCTGTTGGACCTATTCATTAGAACACTTTCTAGAGTCACTGAAAGTTTGAAATTGCTTCATTTTCGGCTCCCAGTCCAGCGGCTCGATATCTTGGGTCAGCTAGGTCGAACACCAAACCATATGCTACAACCTCCTCAGGAACATCTTGTTGAAAAGGTACGTGATTTCAACCAAGTATTGTTAATTAGTTTTAGCGATTCTTTTTCCATTAACAATTTAAAACTATCATAGTCCTTGAAAGTTATGGTTGCCGAACATCATGACCACACATATTTGCCTGTTCTCTTATCGTTGATGAAAATATTGATTTTTTCTTGTTCCATTCTCCAATTCATCTAAGGTTATGGTATTCCTGATTTTCCTTAATTGTTAAAATACAAGCAAGCTCCTGATTCTCATTTTTAAAGTTGCATTCATAGTTTCACTCTGCAGTTTCTTGTGAAAGTTGAGCTACTTGATTTTGATTGGTCATTTACTCGAATCAGTCGTTTCGTGCAGTATTTCCATCCGGATAACATGTCGTCTGCCGAAAAGCTGAAAATCGAGTTAGCAAAAGTCAGAGAAGAATTTAAAATGTCGGAGTCAGACTGTGGATCTGCTCGAGTTCAAGGTAAATCTTTCTTTTCCCCCTTTGTTTTTGCGAGTAATTTGACAGACATGAGACCAGGAGGTTGTTAAGGCTAAAGCAGCTGAATATTTCAGAGTAAAGATTTTGACATCCTTTTTGTTCTTATGATGCTTAATTTCGTTCTCGGTGTCCTCTGCAGTTGCGCAACTTACCACTAAAATCAATCATCTAACTGCTGTCTTGCACAAGAAGGTGAATGCAACCCTATTTTCCTTTCATCCACTCTCCATTTTAAGTTAATATGTACGCTTATCTTGATTCCATTTCATCTCGTATCGAATTTTCATTTCTAGTATTAGGAACCATACCCGTTCTCCCACATGTTTGCATTTTGAATTTGAATCTGTGTTATCAAAAGTGTTGCTGTAAATACGCCATATGGGTTCAAATTTTTAGATGGTCTCTGTAGTTGATATTATAATATATCCATCTTAAATGTGATTCTCAGGATAAGCATTCTAAGAAGGGTCTTCTTGCAATGGTGCAACTGAGAAAAAAGCTACTGAAGTATCTTCGACGAACCGACTGGGAATCCTACTGTATGGTTCTTAACAAACTCGGTCTTCGAGACAACCCAGATTACAAGAACTGAAGCACAGGTTGTCTCCGTTCTTCTCTTACATGCATTGAAATCGCTTTCCTGAGGTTTGCACTCAGCTTTGTTGGAGAGAGTTGTGTGGAATTACATTAGTTTCATTTATATCATCATATGATATCTATCATGAAGTGAGAGGTTTCTGATTGTTGTTGGCAGTGGAAGCTCGGAGATAGATAGTTCATTGATAATGGGAAAGTGTAGAATCAATCTCGCAAGCTTTCTTGATTTCAATAGATTGTATTAGCAAATCCTGAGGTGATTTAGTACTGTTTTTGAATTCATTCCTTCTTTAGCTGCAAAATGGATTGCCCTGTTCTTGCTGCGAAATAATGGAGTTGAAAGTACAGTGGCCTGCAACAATTTTAGTCTGCAGTTGAACTTGTTCATTTCCATATTTACACATTTTGCACTGAAACCTTCTTCCTTTTCCAGATTATTTTTTTTCTTCGCAGATATTTTATTTATTTATTTAATTCTTTATTATCTCATCATTAATTAAAGTTTAAAATACCTCCAATGATATTGAAAGTGATGTAGTTTTATTTTAGTGAGAACTTTAAAAAAGAAATAAAAAAAATCAAAATAGTATGATAAATAAACCCTTTATTTTGGCTTTTAGAATTTTACCAAATTATTATATAGTATTTCATGATACATATTATTAGAATTTTAAATAAATAAAGTATTTCAACTAGTGGTTAATTGTTTTATTTTTATTAAATCAAATCATCAAAACTAATTATAACTAATTAAATTTCCATTTATATACGTTTTTAAGTTTATTTTAAATCAATTTTAATAATTAATAAAATCGTTTAAACTTTCATGTATAATGTATATTTCAAAAATACGGTGGAATAAATTATATTAAACAAATATATGAATTTAATATATATTTAAAAAATTATAATTGAATTATTTTAATTAAATAATTAGTTATATTAATTTTAGTAAACCTCCATAGGGTTTGGCGCCATTTCATATTGGCCGAAGCAGTCTCTCCCGCGCTTTCTCATTTACTCCCTTTCCCTCGATCAGCCCTATTTTCTAAGCTTTCCACTGAACCAACGCCGTTTGATCTGCCGCAAGAAATTCCTTCTCCATCGTCTTCGTCGCTGTGCTGTTGCCGCTTTTTCATCTGTAAGGTACGTCTTCCTTGCTCCTCCTCCAGTTTTAGGTTTTCTTTGGTTTTGAGATAAACCTGTAACGAAGACGGCTGTTCTGTATTCGTGGACCTATTAACTTCTTGTTATGAATTTCCGGAAACTTAAAAACCTAGGCTGTTACTTGAGATTGTCCCTCCCTCTCGCTTTCGGCGAGCCATGAATTTTTTTAGGTTTGCGTCAGGTTGGTTATACAGAAAAGCGAGAGAGTTATTTTGAACTGCGGAACTCACAGTCCCTCTCAAATGCAGGTAAAGCGCTGTTTAGTGCTGTTTGCATCTGCGGGGGTTACGAGTTCTGTTTGTGGTAGTTGATTACTTGGGGATTAAGCTTTTGAGAATACAATTTTACGCAGTTACAAGTTCAGGACATGTTCAATGCTTGCTTCCACAATCTATAGGCCATTGTAAGATTAATTTCTTGTTTCACCTGTGATTCATGATGTTTAATTTTGGATAATCATTATTATATATTTGTTTTTTGTGAACTATGACGGGAGGATTAGGGTTAGGAATACACTTGATTTTTTTCAATGGTGCAATACATTTTTTAATATCAAATATGCATTAGATAGTTCTGCTTTAGTCACGGTGATTAATATAGGAGACCTCTCTGATGTTTGTTTGTTTGTCTTTGTCTTTGTTTTTTGTTTTTTCTTGTTTTTTTGTTTTAATTTTTAGGAGTTTTGAAGCAGTAATAGCGAGAAGATCCTCAAGTTTTATACTGAAAGTTTCTTCTAAGGCTTTTATCCGGAATATCCAAATGGGAACGAATCAGAACTCTATACTACAAGGTTGCAACAGTAACTCTAGAGGAGCTTTGGTGGTTCTTGAAGGTTTAGACCGGTGTGGGAAGACTACACAGTCCAGTAGACTAGTCCAGTACTTAGAAGGGCTTGGGCATTCTGCCGAACTCTGGCGGTTTCCTGACAGAACTACAAGTGTTGGACAGATGATATCTTCTTATCTTTCAAACAAATCACAGCTGGATGACCACACGATACATCTTCTTTTCAGTGCTAACCGATGGGAAAAAAGGTTTGTTAATTTTTCTTAATACAACTTGCATTTTAGTCTCTTAGATTGATATATTTTCAGTTCCTAACTAGTGATTGAGCTTTCTATGCTGTTAACAAGTAGCAAGCTTCAAAATGAAAAATTGTGAACTGGGTTTTAGAATTTCCAAGCAAGTAGTTGTGAACTTGCGACCAAACCTTTTATATCCTCATCTTCTTAGATAAAGAATAATATATATCTGTCCCAAAAGCATGTGATTTGTGTTTGATTACTGTAATGCCCTGCAGATCATCAATGGAAACTAAATTGAAGAGTGGAACCACTCTTATTGTCGATCGGTATTCATATTCAGGGGTGGCCTTTTCATCTGCCAAAGGACTTGGCATTGAATGGTGTAAGGTAAAAATACAAATAAGCAATGTTATGTGACATGTTTTGTAATTATTGACTTTTCATTTCTTCTTTGCGGTGTCTAAGACACGAGATTCTTTTGTAACTTTCCTAGCCTTAACCCTCCATGATTAGTAGGCTTTGCTTCATTAGTTTTTAGTAGAGGGTCCTTTCATCCCCCTGCCCCTAAGCTGTTTTGGTTATAGTAATATATTCCCATAGTTTCTTGTAAAAAAAAAAAAATGAAAAGAAAAACGTTGATGCTATGTTGTCCTTTGCAGGCGCCGGAGGTTGGCTTGCTAGCGCCAGATCTAGTTCTGTACCTAAACATATCTCCAGAGGTTGGTTAAATTATTATATCATCTTTTTTCTGAAATAATTTTAATGCATTTATTTGGATGGTTTACCATAATTCACCCTTTCCAACTAGTAAATGAAACGAAGCTATATACACACATATATACATATTGACATTTTTGTATTGTGACTCATCAAGTCCTTGCTCAGATAGGAATGTTCAACCACGTCCTTGAAGATTATAGAAGCAATTGTATATTTGTATTAGACTTTTCTATGGAACTCAATCAATTGTATTGTTTTAGCATACAATAAGCCGTAGTTTAAGTAGAGCAGGTGTTATTACGGACTTATTTTGAAGTTTTTTATTATGCCATTGGTGACAATGGACTTATAAGTATAATAAATTAAAATCAAGAGAATTGTGTCCTTTGTGCAATCTATTGATAACTATTTTCGTGACTTTATCTAGAAGGACCGCCATTTTTTATCTTAATGATGAAAATGCTTTTATTTGCGATCCCCACCAACAAGACAAATTATCAACTGAAAAACTTCAATCTATATTATGATTGCTTAATGAATAAGGAAATATGTTGAATGATCAGAAAGCATCAGAAAGAGGAGGATATGGATGTGAGAGATATGAGCAGCTTGAGTTCCAGAGCAAAGTTGCCCAATACTATCAAGTTCTGCATGATTCTTCTTGGAAGGTAACTTGCTTTCTTTAGTCTTGGAAAATTGACAGACTTTATGCATTAGGAATTGCTTTGGGCTTTCGCGTTGGTCATAGTTGAAGCTGACTCTTCATATTTTTTTGGTTAATGAATACTTTTGGTCCTCATGCTTTAGGTTGTACAGTTTAGTTCCTATAGGCTAAGTTTGAAATTTGTAATAATTTGGGCTCGTAACTCTAGCATAGAAACATTTAGTCATTTATTTTGAGATAGTTAAAAATTAGTCCCTATACTTCAGATTTGTAACCATTTGATCCCTCCTTTAATTATTAACAACTTAGTCTTCATAATTTATAAAAAAATTTGGTCCTTCACTAATTTTTTGATCCAAGTAGGAAAGAAAATCTATTAACAATATTTTTCACATTAGAGACCAAATTATTACAAATGAATGATGGATAAATTGTCACATAGTTAAGTTTAATGATTAAATTTGTCGTATAGAAACTAAATCATTATATAATAAAGTTTAGCGACAAACTTTCATGCAAGTTAAAAGAGTGATATTTAGGTTTTTTTTTTTTTTTTTTTTTAAAGAGGATTGACCGACTGCATTATGAATTTTGCTTTAATTGCAGGTTATTGATGCTTGCCAACCCATGGAAGATATTGAGAAACAACTACAAGAGATGGTTCTGGAATGTGTCAAGAAATGCCACAATGGGGAACCGCTTTCCCAGCTTTGGTTAAGTTAATGCATTTCTGAAGCTTCAAGTTTTTTTTTTTTCCCGAGTGTATTTATATTCGACATGTTGAGACCCTGAGGACTTGTCTTGTGTTTTATGTTTCTGAAGTGTAATTTGGATTTCTTTTTACAAAGTTTTAATTTTCAAGCTTTGACCTTATGAATCAGTATGTGAATTAATTGTTAGGAAAGAAAAGTTCAACCATGACACTTGAGAATACAGAGGATATTACATTTTCTAATTATTAACTAAAGATAGACCAATTCATTCTAGTTTTGAACATTTTGGGAGGTTAGAGATTTCTATAGCAAAATAATAGTGATATCTAGTCCATATGTAGAAGTTTTATGCTTTATATATTTCCATCCATAATGTAATCACCATGGTTACAAACGCCCTAAGTCAAACATTACATGGAACTTTTGAAATAGTAAACAACTGTTATGATCAACTAGTTGATGACTGCTAGTTACTGCATTCATAAAGGATTCAGCTCTTTAGATGGTGATGGAATCATGGAGTTGTGAAGGGCGGTTCAGGTGGCAGGGGCACTAATGGTTCATTGAAACCGGTATCTGGTGCTGGTGGTGCAGACACAAAGGGAAATGGATCCTGAGGAATATCTGGAACTTCAGGAACCAGGGGAGGTGGAAGAAAGATGATGGGACGAAATGTGAAAGGCGATGGTTCGGTCGGGATTGATACCAGTGGTGGAGGTAATATGGGGATGAACGATGGTTGATCTGGTGTGAAATCAAACGGAGGTGGCAGATCAGGCACCAGTGGAGGTAGTGAAAATTCTGGCAGAGGTGGTGAGAAGGTTATTAAAGGTGCTGGATTAGAAAACAGTGGTGGTGGTGAAGGAACCAGAGGTGGTGGAAACCAGGTTGAAGGTGTTGGAGTAGATAGTAATGGCGGTGGCGGTGATGGAACCAAGGGAGGTGGAACCATTTCCGAAGGGACCGGAGTAGATAGTAACGGCGGCGGCGGTGATGGAACCAAGGGAGGTGGGGGAGATGAAGGGGGTGGAGACGGAGTATCAGGTGAAGCCAAAGGTGGCTGCTGATAAACTGGAGGAGCTGGCTGCTGATAAACTGGAGGAGCTGGCTGCCGATAAATTGGAGGAGCTGGCTGCCGATAAACTGGAGGAGCTGGCTGCTGATAAACTGGAGGAGGGGAAGAAACTAAGGGGGCCGGTTGCTGCTGATAAACTGGAGGAGGGGAAGAAACTAAAGGGGGCAGAGAAGGCCTTGAGGGTGACAAAAATGGGTTATCTGAAGGGGAGGTTGGGAAAGGCCACTGGCCACAGGCTCCAAACAAGTATCGGTAAAAAGGATCACAGTTGGATCCTCTGCTTCTGGGCTTGCTTCTGCTTCTGCTTCTGGGTTTGCTTCTCTTTTCTTCATCTTTCCACCCTTTTCTTTCATGTTGATTCTGCTTTTGTTCAGTATCTGCTTCTACAGGTACTTGTTGAGAGATCAGCAGCAGAGCTAAAAGTGCTGCTATCACTACAGTAAGCTTCATTTATGTTTCTTCGGTCATAATCTTGTATGCATTTTGGTGATGTTATATGTTCCATGTAGAAAAAGGGGCTTATATAGAACAATAGAATAGACTGGTTTGTTTTGTTTTGTTTTGTTTCGACCATAGCATGCCTTGAAGTTCGCAATTACAACGTTGATTTCTATACCATTTATGTTTTGACTTCTTGAGTTTCAAAGCAGCACAACTCTGATATTTATTAATGCTGCAGCAGCACAGTGAATTAATAGACATGGCTCTCAATAGTCACTGCTTGCTACCTTCAAATTTGCGACTTCCAATGCTAATTTATGGAAGTATTCTCTCTCTGAGTAGTTGAATGTTGCACAGAAAACTATTTCTCTCTCTGAGTAGTTGAATGTTGAAGCCAAAAATTTATGGATAAAATACATTTTTATTTTTGGTGTATTTGAATTTGATTTCTAGTTGTTTCCTACGGTTTGAAATTAGTTTTTAATTGGTCTCTAGAATTTGAAATTGGTTTCTAGTTTATGAAAGATAAAAACCTTCTTTCATTTTCAGTTTACATTGGTCCTTAGAATTAGAATTAGAATTCTAATTTTCTTTCGTTTTCAACTTGAATAAATCACAAACTAACGATTAATCCTATGACAGATCATAGAAAACGACGATACCTTACTTGAAAATCTGTCCTCTAAGAACCTCCTCTGCAAATACTCCATGGCCTCTGCCTTCTCAAGCTGGCTGTGCAGCTATGGCGCCAAGTCTAAGCTCGTCAGAATCGTCCATCCCGGCGGTCACATAGAGCTCCACGACGGTCCCATCCGGGCGGCGGAGATCATGCTCCGAAACCCAGAATTCTCCCTCACTCACTCCCAATCAGCTAATCATCCATGGGCCATCGTCTCGCCGGACACGACGCTCATGCTGGGCTGCAAATACTACCTCTTACCTGAAAACAGCGTGGGAAACCCCCAGAAGATGAAGGAAAATGGAGGGTTGGAATCGGATTGTTTGAATGGCGGAAAGTGTATGATGTGTTTTGTTCCAAAGGAGAAGGGCGAGAGAACTGTGAGGTGGGAAAGTGGTGATGATTTGAAGGGGAATGACAAGAGGGTATTTTTGCAAAATGGGAATATTAGAGGGTCTCCCAAGAGACCATTTGGGTCATCTGATAATTGGGAACCAAATTTGAATAGCATCTCTGAAGAATATTAGAAGTTTGTATTTTGTTTTCTTAGGATTGGATTGAGTTTGGTTAGTTTATTATAATGATGAATCCATAGTTGGTCGATTATATGTTAATATGAATCATTATAAATTCATGATAGAATAATTCATGATGCTTAATATGAATTTCATGATGCTTAATATGAATTTGATCGACTACAAAGCTTTTACATGCTTGGATTCTTTATGTTCAATTCTAGGTGATCTTCTAGACATGTGCATGGATTTGGATATCATTCACGATTCTAACTCAAGAAAGTCAAGTTGTATGGAAGAAACTACTTGAATAGAATTACAATTCAAACTATTTGAAGTAGAACTTTCTATTAGAAATATCTAGAGATTGATTTTATCATTTCAGTTATTCAATCATGATTTGATCAATCCTTTTTTCTATCATTAAGGTGGAGAATTGCAAGAATTCTATTTTATCATAATCCAATCATGTAATTTTTAGTTTTTTTAAAGTACTTTTAATGTTTTTGTAGATTATATTTTTAGTGTTTCATTATAAAAGTTTAGGATTTAGATCAAATTCTAATGGATGAGTTTGAGATTTTAATGATAAGATTCAAATGGAGTTGGGACAAAAATACTACTTTTATTTTACTAATAGTGGAATAATAACACCCACACCACTTGTGTGGGGTTAGCACCAGCGTCGGATTGCAATCACAAATCACACATGCTGGCGACTTATTGCCATCACCCTAACTTCCTACTACAAAAATCAAACAGCAAGACACAGCCTAACATAAAAACTAATAATAATAAGTTTCTTTTTTTTTTTTTTTTTTTTTTTTTTTTTTTTTTTTTTTTTTTTTTT